CTCCGAGGATTCTATGGGCGTAAAAAGACACAAAAATATATCCTATGTTCCTATGGGAGCACAGCGACGAAAACGTCACACTGGAATCCCATAGGCTTTGAGGCATGAGAGTCAAGTGGCAGGAGTGAGATCTGATGGGCACTACCACTGTGCCGGTCACTCTGAAACATAAACTTGATGATCCCATGTGCCCGTAATTTCACCAGCACACTTACCCTTCAAATCCGGAACGCTAATACTCACATTACTGCTTGACAGGAGAAGCAGGTATGGTGGTAGTACTTCCCTGGACAAAGTCTTTGCACAAGTAGTTCTACTGCTTCTCGACTTTGTTTAGTCGAAATCAAAGCTCGTTATATAAATCTCGTTTTAAATCTCAGCTATGTGTATTGCTTTGCTGGCTTTTTAGAATTTGTAAGTAATGACTGTACACCAAATTAGTATTCGTACTGGTACAGGACTGTACTATTCCTTATAATAATAAAAAGAATGTACAGAGTATATTTCAGGTTTGTTTCGTCTTATCTAATTTCGGTGGCAATTTTTATTATTTAAGTATTCGAGTATGTAACAGTGATAAATAAATATTCAATAATATTTCAAGATAGCACACTCGCATATTGAAATGATAATATTCTAGAATATATAAATAATAAAAATTGCCACAGAAATTGGTTAGAGAAAACTGACCTGAAAATTACCCTAAAACTTTATTTTATGATCCTGTTAACACCATGCACATAAATAACTATTTTATATGTAAGAACTATCTACTTATATTTAAAAAAAGAAATTTATAGTCATCAATATTAACTTGCGTTCTCCCACACTGTAAAAGGAACACATCTATTTGACATCTTTTTTACCACAATCGTACGAAGTTGGCAGTCCCTGTGCAACCGTATCACAAATACATCACTCTCAAGCGTATTTGCGCACTACATCCGATTCGTATTCGTTCCGAATCAGGGGTCGACTCTCGATCTCCGTCCGACATCCGTCCGAAACAATTACTGCCAAATAAGCAATACTTGACCAAATCAAAAGACGCGTGATGCGAATGAAGCTTCATACTGGATACTTGTTTTTTAATTTTGTCGAATATTACTTATTTGACAGTAATTGTTTCGGACGGATGTCGGACGGAGATCGAGAGTAGCCCCCCTGATACGAATCGGACGGAGTGCGCAAACTTTGTAAGGGACATTGTTTACGGAATTGCTTAATACTGAGAGCTCGGTCATCGACCTACATGTAGAATGCTCTCATTTGTCACCTACATGCAGCGACACGAGTCAAGCTGTTATTATAATGAGGAAGAATAGTGTGTCTATAATAACACTGAATAGAATACGGGAGCTTTGATATGGAAACATAGATGGAAACATTACGACTAAGAATGTTAAAAAACGTGTCGTTTTGCACAATTTTTTTAACATGTCAGGAAGTAGCAAAATACCAGCGGCGCTGAGAAACAGTCCGTCGTTTTGCAGAGCTACAGAACTTTTTATCTCCAGCCACTATTTCTGTTACTAAACTCTGTGTAAAGTAGTTTTTATATTTATGTATAAATGTGTTAAGATAAGTAAACGATTTTATTATTATTATTAACTCAACAAATGCTGAGTGAATTTCAACGCCAAGTATTAATATTACTTTAACTCGAATTTTGTCGGTTTTACCATTTTTAATGCCAAATGGTTCAACTAATTTAAATTAAATTCATAATTAACAAAAAATAGAAAAAGCATTAAAATTTTAGAATTTATGATGAATTGTATGATAACCTAAAATAAAAAGAACCATTAATATATGTTTGAAAACGTTGCAATGTTTAGTGTTAATTACAGATGGCGATTTTAGACCTCGATGTTTAAATGTTAAGCTCTATTTCGACACCTCATATGAACATTACGCAAAATTAGTTTTTAGACCCGTTTTGTGTTTTGTTTCTTTGTTTTTTTTTCACAAAATTGTTTTTTTTTTTGGTATTTTTTTCCAATTTTACATTTCTTACAAGGTCGCAATCTTGCATTATTTTATTATAAGCGTCCTTTAATGAACGATACTACCAATATTATCAAGTTTTACAACGTTGTAATCACTATCAAATTCATCACCCGTTTGTGTCATTCACTCACCACGATTCCACGTTATTCTCACCTATACGACCCATCTGTTATGAAATCAGGTAAAAAAAACTACATTTACATATACAATAAAGAGTTACACAACATTTATATTAACAGCTGATTTTCTTGAGTAAAACTTGTTTATCGTTTAGCAAGAGTTGTTTAAATTGATCGGTAATTATCATCTGTTAAATTTCGCTCATTTCCTTGGTCACACTTCTTCAGGGGAAGCTTTTTGCTTCTTCTAAATGATGGAATATTCTACCTGAGCCCCGATTAGACTTTCTCTGTTATTATTAAAGGTCGGAATTAACAGTTAACATTTATAGTCTTCTTAGTTGCTTTTTATGATATCAATTACCAAGTGAGGTGACGAAAAAGTCGTGAGACGTAAATTGTTAAGTCCCATTTGCCTGTTATTTCACCAGCACAAAACCGGAACGCAGTAATAACACATAGGTAATACACACATAATAATAATATTAACACTTAATAATACCACATAACACATAGCTCACATAACTGCTTGGCGGTAGGAATAGGTTGGACGAACCCTTTACAAGGAGTTTAGTGCTACATGGAGCTCCATTGCTACAGATTTGCTCGATTTTTGACGATCGCTACTATCACTTATTAGCGATCGATGAATATTAAGTTTAAAAATCAAACAAATTTGTAGGCACCTACGCCTTATTTAAATTTCAAAGTGTCGATTGACACATAATTCGATGTTGATCGTCTATTGCTTACACATTTACTCACGTTGTTTGATCACACGTGTCGATCGTCAAAAAACCTCTAGACTCCGTTAGGTTTTCTCGATTGCTACACATTGGGAATTAAATGTTTTTTGTATTTATGTCACGTTACTATAAGCCGTTTAAAAGCTCAACACAAAGATTCGCAATGAGTACATAGAGAAATTCATATGATCTACTGGTTCGATCCGTAGCTCAGTTGGGAGAGCGGTTGCCACGTTGAGGCGACAAACCTTGGTTCGAGTCCAATCAGATTGAAGGAATTTTTCTTTGTGTGCTTATTGTTACTAAATCTTCTTCGTCTTATGGTATCCTTGGCATACATTGCATGCTTGCCATCGTGGTGAAAGATTTGCCAATCGGAGTAAGGTACTGTCCGACGTACAGGAAAGGAATGTTACGTCGTGCGGGGAGGCTCCTTTCATGCACCACATTATTAAATGATAATAACACTACACTGGTATTTAAGAAATTATCGTTTACACTTGAGTGTGTAAGGACGTATCGATTTCTGTAATGGTTCGACTACTTAATACCTTATCTAAAAACATTATATATACTTACCGTAATGCGTCATTCATTACTTAATCAAATTGAACGTTTATATTACGTAAGCTATGCGTAATTAACACGTTACAGTTTTATGTAGAATCGGCTGGCCCTTATTAATGATTGCATATTTTCAAATGTAAATTGTACTGAGATTTTTTATTATTATTTATGAATGAATTTATTATATTAGCATTTTAATAAGCAGTAGAGCTCATTGTGAAACAGTTCTGCTTATCTTACCTATTTTTGCCACCAAGCGGTAACGTGAGCATTACTGCGTCCCGGTTTTGAAGCGTAGGGGTGCTGGTGAAAGTACAGACATCATTTTCGTCTTATGTCTCATGGTGACGGGCGCAGTAGCAGAGCCTCTAAGATCTGTATGATTTAAAGTTCTGAGTGGTACTGCAACTGTAATGGACAGTTGTGTCGCTTACCACCAGATGCACGAGTTGTTCGTCCCGTCATTTGGTATCATAAAAAAGAAAAATTTAATGTCTTTTGATTTGATTTCTAGATCTTTGGACTGACGAAAGGTTAAAAGCGCCATTGAGCGAAAATGAGTCATATATGTATATATAGGGTTTTTCAACAAGAACTATATTTTGTAAAGAAAATAAAACAATAAATTTAGATGACAATGATTTAAATTTTTATTGTATTAAAAAGGTAAGGTTTGGCAATTATGAATAACAAATGATATCTGATAAATGTCCGCCACGACCACAGTTACAGATGTCGATTCTTTCATCAAAGTTTTCTATCACTCTTTGACGAAATGGTGGGTCAATTTCGTTAATCACTTCACGAATTTTGAGTTTTAAAGCTGCAATCGATTCCATTGGCTCCATACGGGCTTTGTCTTTAACATAACTCCATATAAATAATCCAGCGGTGTTAAATCACATGATCGAGCTGGGCACTTAGCAGCTGAATTCCGTGGAAATTTGGTTTGCAATAAATTCATTGTTTTGGTGGCTGTGTGACTTGTGGCACCGTCTCGGTGAAACCATATGTTAGTGATATCCATATCATCAATAATAGGCCAAAATTGAGTTGTTAACATTAGCATAGATAGTATTTCCGCATTTCCAGACGAATTTTTGGAAAAAAAAACGGCCCAAGTGACATAACCAGTCACATATACATGTAAAACTATAGATAGCCACTTTTTAGTGCTGCTTGTTGTTCAAGGGTCTTTATATGACGTATTACTTAAAATGCGACCAAGTGACAAATGGTCAAATAACCGTTTTGAATAACAAAAAATAGAACACAAAATTACAGGTGAAGACTGAAAATCAGAAATGCTGAGTCTTTAACCTTTTTGTCCATACTCAATTGTATTTTCTATTATTTTGGTTTTTAAGTATTCTGAGTCCTATGTTTTGGGGTTAAACAAATTATTTTTTATTTTTTTTATTCGTTATACTTTTTGCCGTTTCACTGCCTATATCATCAAGATACTACAGACTGGTTTCAATCAAGGCATCGAGTTGAGAACCTGAGTCTATTGCCGATCCATTTGAGTGTCCTAAAAATAAATCTTCTTTTGTTACAGAGTCCATCGGATTCAATACTGACCACCGGCTCGATATCGGATCGCATTAACATACTTCAGCAGCGGAGATCAGATCAAAGCTTACAGCCAAATGTCTCGAGCACTGTACAGAGGAATAAGAGCTCGTTACATAGCAGTGGACAGGGGTCGCTGGGTAAGAACATTTTTAAGTGTTACGACCGCTTAACTCTGTTTAAACTCCAAATTCAGCTTGAAATGACAAATCTCTGAAAAGACAGATTTGATAAAGAGGCAGTGTACACGCTTCTACATTAAAATTTCTAACTGTATTCAAAATTTGCCCTTTACGAGATCAAAAACTCTATGAATGATCTCCGTTTAGCTTTTTCAGTTTCTTTTTACTTAAGATATTATAAAATAAATAGTGTAAATGATAGATGTGTACAAATACGTATATATTTACAAGTTTCTTACTCATTCTACTTGGGGTAATGTCCTTTACGAATTAAATTTTGGTGAAATTACAGGCACGTGGGACTTTCAACTTGTGTCTCTGTGTGACGGGCGCAGTGGCAGTGCCCCTCAGATCTTTGCTATTTAAAGCTCTGAGCGGCACTGCAACTGTTAGGAACAGGCGTGTTGCTTACCACCAGGCGCACGACTTCTTCATCCCGTAATTCCGTCACTAAGTATCATAAAAAAATAATATAAAAATGAGTATCGTGTTTAATAAATGTGATGATTTCAATTTAAATATGAAGTTCAACGGCTTACCAGCAAAAAAGATGGCTGCATTTCTTAAGATGATTAACAGTGGTTGTTAAATAGAGTTTCCATATCTGTTGAATTTCGCAGAATTTTCTCTCTTCTTAGTGTTGTTTGCTAATAAATGTTTGTGTTGACAACGGAACTCGCGAATTTACAAACAACCACAGAATGTTGTTAAACAATTAATCGTCTTTTTTTACTTTTATTAGTCGAAATCTCAACGAAACAGAAACTGGTTCATAAATTCTTCCACAGTCTTTTGTTATTAGTGTACAGACAGACCAACAGTTGATTCAATTCCAATTAGTCGGTTTAGTCTTTGTCCCTGGCAAAATCACAAAATTAATTTCAGTATAACGCGTAATTGAAATTTACAAGCTGACATCTTCATTTATTAATATGAAGAGGAAAATTCGAAAATTCTTAAGACAAACTTTATTTCCGTCGTTAGGTGGCAGTATGTCATCCTTATCATCAGTGCCATCCACGCCCACACCTTCAGCGTCCCTCTCTGCGTCAGACCTTTCAGAGAGACCAAAGGTCTCCCACGGAAAGCCGAACCTCGCGCCCAAGCCTCCAACGATGGCGCCAGCTGTCTCAAACGATACTAGACCGTCGCCGCCGCCCAAGAAGTTGATTATTAACGGCAAATCCGCCACTAGAACACAGAGTATGAGGATGCCTAGGTAAGAAAATTCTTTTAATACTTGATATTAGAATCTCTGGCGAATTTTCCGAGGAAAGAATCGGATTTTGTAAGATTGTGTCAAGATATGCAAAGATTATGCTTTGCATGAGTAGTACATTTTCTCCAAGGAAGTACTTACACCATATCTATTTCTGTTCTGCCGCCAAGTTAAGTAATTTGAGCATTACTACATTCTGTTTTTAAAGGGACAGAACCGGTGAAACTACAGGCACATGGGGCATGTCAACTTTACGTCTTAGGGGTGCAGTGGCAGTGCCTTTCACATCTTTGCGATTGAAACCTCTAAGTAGAACTAGAATAGTTGTGGGTAGGCGTGACCCTCGACTTGTTCATCCCGTCACTTGATTTCTGAAAAAAAAAGACCGATGGCGTTGAACTTTTGCCGACTTCAGAAAAAGGAGGAGGTTCTCAATTAGGCTGTATTTTTTTGTATGTATGTTACGTGATAATTCCGGTATTTTGAACCGATTTTGATGATTCTTTTTGTTGGAAAGAGGGTATTTTAGTATTGGTCCCAGTTCAATTTGAAGAAAGTATTCCTCCTCTAAAGGTGGCAAACTAGTGGATGAATCCGATTTCGCACACTTTCCGGTAACCGATCTTAATAAAACTAGTCAAATAGATGTAATACCACCAACTTTTGAGATCAGTTTTTTAGTACTCTGATTATTGAGTACTGTGATTATTCTTATTATTACATAGGCGCATTTATACTCAATAGATGTAATTTATATAAGCAATTAAATATTGATTTATTTTCTTCATGTTATCAAAGATTGTCATTTTTTACTAAGATCGTGAGATTGCATGTATGTGTCCGCAGATCACCATCAGGATCGCCGCCGTCTCCACCCGAGGGTGGACTTCCGCTGCAGCTGCCGCCCGCGCCGCATCATCTGCCGCCCGGGCTTCATCATCTGCCCATCGCCACCAAGAACCCCGCTTCGCATTTCGGTATGTCACCTATTCTTTGTGTGAAATTTTAAATCTTTTCAGATTAAAGTAAACAATAAAGACTACATGGCGACTATAACAAAGTCGTTGTAGCAGGAAATCACTTCCAACCATTTGACACATAGTTTCCCAAACTTTTTACCTAACCGCCTACTTCGGCAATATAAAGAAAAATATTGAAAACTAATTCTATTTTTATATTAACTTAACACAAAAAATAATAATAATAAGTTTGTAGTTATCGAGTTTTTAGGTTTTCATGAATTTCACACATAGGAAATTAAACTATTTTTCCGGATTTAAATCGCGTTTTGTTTTCTCAGGTCCCATGTCAATCGTGACCACTTTGGGAAACTATTATATAATATGAACTTTACAGTGTAGAGGAATTTCTTTCGATGAAATTGCAATTTTATTTGACGTGTTTCGACAATATTTTGTGTTTATTTATTTATTTACTAATACCGTTTTTATTATATATAATTACAATTGTGTAGTATTATAATTGTTTGGTACAGTAAATACGTTTCATGCCACCAGTAACCAATTTTGTTGTAATTAGCAGGTTTTTTTTAAAAAAAAAAAGATCTCCGTTGGAATTTATCATTTACAGAGTTTTCTTTTATGAATTTCCTTTATATTAAATGATAATCGAGGGCACCAAGTCAGGATACAGTGTCAGTGGCTGGATTTTGTACGTTTAGTATTAGTGGCTAGCCATCGAGCTAGTAATCAACTGTCATTGCAATTTTTTTGGTATTCTGCTCTTCATGATGAGTCGATGGCGCGTCTACGGGGAAGTTATTAATATTATATGTATTTAATTTGAAGATTAAATTGCTGATTAAACGAGATAAAAATTAGGAAATGCATAGTCATTTCCATTGTAGTTTTAGTAAAGTAACATCAATCGTTAGTGATAGAATGAATGAATGAATAATAATAATAATAATAATAATAATGACAACGCACACACTCAACATAGCCCCGCACTAGGGAGACCCTGTGTCGCGGGTGCCATGGACACACATATAGACAATCACAAATTACACCCAAACTCACGAGAGAAATAAATGTAGGCCATACAAATATTTCTCCCGGCCCGGGAATTGAACCTGGGACCTCTGCGTGGCAGTCCGGCATGGTAACCGTTTGGCCACGAAGGCAGTTTAAACAAAATTTAGGTAGAAAAAAAATTTTCTGCAGAATGCCGTCACTGCCATTCCATAGAATCTCTATTGAGATGCAACTAGATTTTATTATCGTAATTTCAATATAGTCTCAGTGGAGTCCCAAAGGAATCACAAAGTGACACACAAAAAAAATAGCAGAATTGGGTCCAGGCCAATTGAAGAATGGCATTTAACGTCTAAAACTTTAGGTGGCCTAATTTCATTAATGAAGTAGTGTTTTCTAATCAGGTGATTAGACATCACATGACATTTCGTCTCTATTTCTGGTTCTATACTCGATAGTATATAACCAGAAATAGAGACGAAATGTCATTTAATTTGTTTGAAAAATATTCTGTCAAATCATTACGGTGACAGCTGCGCTCCGATTGACCAGCCCGAATTCGAAACAATTGGCGGGTCTCGTAAATTGTTTCACTTGAAATCGGCCAGTTTAACTTGATATATTTAATTACCGATGAAATGTAATTCCGTTTGTTTCGTAATTAGATGTTTTGCTGTTTTTCCCACACCACCGAATACAACTGCACACCATTGTGAGAGATATTGTCTTTATTACAATAAATACAGAATATTTTTGGAACATAACGTAAACACAGGTCAAGTTGTTGGCGCTGTACTATTTCAGCTTTCCAATTTGTGATTTCAAACGAGAGTTGATATAAGGCCCATTTGCCTGATCAGTGGCCAGGGAAGGATGGCCCTTATTTCGTCTCTATTTCTGATTATATACTCGATGATTGTACCCGTTGTCTCTCTGAATCATGCGTGCGTGTCCACTTCAGGCACTATGCGAGCGCCGCGGGGCCTCCGCCCGCCCGGCGTGTGCCCCCCTCCTCCGCCGGGAGCGCCGCCCCCGCCTCCCGCGCGCCACGGCTCCCTCGGGGTGCACCCGGCGCCACCGCCTCCGCCGCACCATAGACAAAACGTAAGTTCCATCATTCTTGTGGTTAAGGGCCGTTTTTAGCTTTCAATTTAGCTTCAGCTTCAACTGTATTCGTGTATTTTACTATATGGGGGAGCATACTCGTATTATTATCTTGTATCACACTCGCTCAACTTTTTGCATTGGGTTCAAATTAGCGATGCGCGAATTTGAATGGTACTAATCATTCGAATGGGCAAATCATTCGCCTAAGTCGAATCCAAGTACAATCATACCGATACCGAATGCCCCTGCGGTTCGGTCGGGTGCACGCGTCGAGTGATTATTACGTCGGAACTACTCGGAACTCCACCAGATTCACCATGTTCATATGAAAATATCCCTCTCCCCGTCACACTTATGGTATTTACCAAATGTCAGAGAGGGCTAGGCAGAAATGCTTTATGGATTAATACTACTAGTTAGTAATTAATGATCATTCGAATACGAAAATTAGTAGGTTACTAATTTGTCATTCGAATGACGGGATAATAATTACTAACGAGTTGAATATCAATATCATTCGCAATCGCGTATCGCTAGTTCAAATCTTTCATTTTTTTATATACCTGATAATTTATTTATAATTTACTTATCTGAACTTTGTATCAGACTTCGAAAATACATTAGTTGCTACGCGCCAGTGAAGCGAGCGAAGCTTTCTTGGCATCCATTAAATTAGCACAATTTCCGAACGGAACTCCTCGGCCGTTCCTCAACTGTTATGTACGAAATTTTAAGTTAGCATAAAAAATACAATTGTACAGGTCATTTATGAAACCCAAATTTTGAGCTTCGACCTGTGACTTAAGATAATTAATGTCATTGAAGTTAATGTCATTGTTAAGTCTGTGGGAATATTTTAGAGGCAGTATAGCCTTTGACATCAACCAGTCCTTGGATGATAGATTCAAAAACATTTAGATAATTTTGCGCGCGAAAATGTGCAGAACAACATTCAGCCTTGTTATTAGTATAATAAATAATCTCAGTACAGAGTTTTAAAAAACCGATATCAAAAGTTCGTGGAATTACATCTATTTGCCAAGTTTTATTGAAATCGGTTACCGGAAAGTGTGCGAAACCGTATTCATCCCCTAGTTTGCCACCCTTAGAGGTGGAATATTTTCTTCAAATTTAAATGGGACCAATCAAAAACGGTTAACAAATGCCGGCGTTATCGCGTAACATACATACAAAAAAAAAAAAGATAAAAGTCCTCCTTTTTTGAAGTCGGTTAGAAATATAACTCTCTCGGAAAGTCCATATTACGAATTGTGATAGTATGCGAAGAGTTAGGTAAACATGCTGATAACGCCAGGCCCCGTTATAAAAATACAGTCAGAGATAGCACCAATCGTGATTCTGCCACTTCAGAGCGTCGTGTCCCAAAATGGCGATGACGTGCCCGCGCCGCCGCCGCCCGTGCGGGGTTCCTCCATGCGCGCGGTGGACTTCGAGGCGCGCTTCGGCGACCTCTTCAACCCCCCCACAGGCTTCCCTCCCCCCGACCCCTTCCTACGCTTCGCGAAGGACTACAGCAGCGCCACAGTCGGCGGTAAGTACTATTGAGCTTTGCAGGTAGATCGTATGGGCACCCTTCTCAGCTTGGTGTTGCTACATGAATTGTCCTGTATTACATTTGTGTCATTGTTAAAATGTTACTACAAGCATGTGTACATCGAATTTCTGTTTTCAAATGTCACGTATTACCAACGGATAAGTAAAAGGAAAATGTTTATTAGCGGAGATCAGAATATGCAAGTAATAGTATGGAGCAGTGAAATTCCGGTGTAATTGAAAATAAAAGCCAAGCATTCAAAAGAAAATACTTCTATTTTTACTTACAATTACAAAACGTTTCTTCTAAATATTGTACTGTATCAAAGTGATTACCAGTTACACATAAAAAATATAGAACAAAATACAATGCAATAATTCCGGCATTTTGTAGAAGGTATTACATTCTATCTACATTATCCATTCTTTTCCATTATTCATTATTTATCTTTATTTCCATATATCATTCTATTCCATTCTATGTACATTACTTATTCTGTTAATTCCGACCTTTGTTTTTAATCACTGATTAATATAACATTTTGTCAGTAGCAGATTGCATTAATTATAAAGCCGTAGATTTTTTCGTATAAAGTGATAAATAAGTTGTAAATATAACGTGATATACTACAGTAATCCCCGATCTATCAACTTATCGATTCAATATCGTGGCGTATTAACTTTGTCTAATGAATACAATAATGTCATAAAATGGTCACAAAGAGCAATGGCGAATTCTCATAGAAATTTTTGTTGACGTAATTTGTTCATACAAATTACGTTTGTTTATGAAAAATATGCGAAAATATAGTTACTTAATTCCTGAACAAATTTGATTTTGGGTTAAGTCTGGGATTAAAGATATTCTAGTTTGAAGTTTTAGTGGTTATGTTTTACATAATTGAATGGAATATATTCGGTGTTTATATAAAAATAAACTACAGAAGCCTCAAACAGACTTATAGAACCGAACCGGTGCCATGTGTTTGTGATGTGACAAGAGTACAGAGGAAAATCTTTTTTATAAGGTGTGGTCAAAAGGTTAAAGGTAGTTAAGCTATAACAAAAAAAAACTGACTACGTACCATGCCCTGGTACCATGTTTGGTCAGTTTTACCACTTTCTCGTGTAGCACATTAGGAGAATGAATTGTCTATTTTATTTTTTGTCATAAAGTATGTAACGTCTTCTTGCAAATCGGTCGAATCAGCACATTTGATATTACGTGAACTAACTTAGTGTGGACCTATCTGTACTTAGGTATTGAACATCTCTTTTTGGCGGTTAGATGTCGATCAACGTTAAGAAACTGACAGTTGTAGATATCAGTCCGGTTACATACTAATTAGTAAATTGAGTATAATTTAAATATGATTTTATTTACAGACTTAGACATATATCATTTGAAAAACTTAATGAATTAATTTTATTATTCAAACTTGTAATTCTGACATTTGGGCTCAATTTATATTGCGGCGGAACGGAATGGAAGCGAATTTTTGTAACGATATTGTACATTGCGTTATGAACATTATGGTCAATGGTGTAAAGTACAAACTAGATACGAACCAAAAATCAGCTCGCGCGTCTTCAGCGGAATTCTCGCGCATTCGCGATCCGCGGGAAGTGGCGCGAAGGCAGGCGCAGTGTGACGTCAAACGTCCACGAAATACGACAGCCTCATGGCGCGGTCGCTGGAATGCTCGAGGCCGCGCACCTTCTCGCGCAGCGAGACTAAATTGACGCTTCCATTCCGTTCCGCGGCGATGTAAATTTAGCCTTAAAGACTAAAGAATTCTTTCAACAATAATTTCACCATTGTTCTTTAAATAATCATATTTTTTTTTCTATGACGTGTTTTCGTAGGTCGGGTATTACTTATTTGACAGTAATTGTTTCGGGCGGATGTCGGATACAGAACGGGGATAGACCCCCAGATACTATGGCTTCACCCATCGATTTGTTTACATCAAAACAGAACGTAAAACTTTGAATCGAACCGAATTGAGGCTATCAGCACAAACGTGGCGTAAACCAGTTTAATTTTTTTGTAAAAAACATTTAATAATTAAATGTTTTTTATACACGAAACTAACATCCAAATATAAAATAGTTATGTAAAGTAACATTGTAGAAAAAAATCGAGTGTGGGCTACACCACTTTTGCGCTGATAGCCTCAATTGTAAGTTACGTGTCCATTCTTGGTACAAGGGAAACCTATCGTAGTTATGCTAGTTGGTGTAATGGTGGCACTTCACATGGCTGTTTGTATTTGACTATTTGAAATATTTGGCAAACAATCACCATGTATCATCGATGGTACGTGTGATAAAGTATTTGCATTGTTTGCCTATTCGACAACTAGGGTAAATACCAAACTCGCGTTGTCGCGCGCTGATCGGTATCTCGACTCACATCAAAGGAGCCAAAGAGGTTTGCCTCTTACGCTAGTGAATTGTCCACACTACTTATCGGCATCATGTATAGACGGCCATATTTGTCAGTATTTGCGTGTTTGTCTGTACGTCAAACATTTTTTCAGGTACATCAAACACCCAATAACGAATACAAGTAGCCATGTGAAGTATCGGCATTACAGTATATTGTATATTTGTGACAGTGAGTAATTTACAAGTACATTTCGACGGAACAGATATTTGGCGATACACAAATACGTGTGTAGAGTAAAAAATAAAGTTGTAAAGCAACATGTTTAGTATCTAACTAAAGACAATTCATGTAGTAACACCTGACCGTTTTGAACTTGGTTATTGAAAACGGTGCATATTAAAAAAGTGTTGTTGTTTTGAAAAGGTACATTAGAAAGTGTCAACTATATACATAACCGATTATGGATTTGTAAAATTATTTACAAAAACTAAACTTGTAGAAAGTAGTGTAATAAAAACTATCGCAGATAGTATTTTACATTGACTTTGAAATAATTATATCGAACATTTAAAACGAAGTATTCGAACTTGAAAACCACACGGTTATAGGAATATTAAACATGCTCACAATCCAATAAATCATCAAAAAATTAATTGGAACTGAACATGTTAAGCTACCAATAAGTAGTCTTTATTCTGATTAAATGGAAAGCGGGAGAAAAGTAATTAATTCCTATAGGTTGTTTATTGTTAGTCCATATTTATCAGCGCCACTGCAGCGCATCTACAAACGTCAAATTTGAAGACCCCTATGAGCGTTCGCGCACTACGTCCGATTCGTGTCAGTTTCGAAACCGCGAAATGACGGGCCGAAATGTCATTTTATCTCTATACTCAAGCCAAATTCGATGTAGAATGTTTGATAACAAAACGTTGCTAGGAACCAATGATGACATAGGAAAAGAACTTTTTTTCAATGCTCATTATTAAGGCTTTCTCTGCCCACGGCTTGCTCCCTTAATTGGAATTTAAATAGATAAGTAGGTAATTGGGTTATGTAGAAGTAATACTTACCTAGACAATTGTTATAAACTTTACAAAATACCTATTGATACGTATGATTTAGGAATAAAAATAAGTGCATCTTAATATTTACTGCTAGATGATAGGTAAGGGTAGATGAAAAGAAACAAAATTGTAAGACTTTATTTGATATCCAGCAACTATTTCCGATTCTGAACTTGAATTACTACCAGAACTCAAATGTTTGCAATCTCTCCCTTCAAATGAAAAAGTCACTAGGGGTGACAGTTTTACATATAATTAATTACTGGCCATTTTACGTAATTTGAAATTTCTGTTGAATATATTCATTTTTTTTATAATATTAACGCACACACTCAACATAGCCCTGCATTTGGGAAACCCTGTGTCGCGGCTGCCACACACACATAGACAACCACATGTTACACCCAAACTCACGAGATAAATAAATGTAGGCCATACAAATATTTCTCCCGGCCCGGGAATCGAACCTGGGACCTCTGCGTGGCAATCCGGTATGGTAACCATTCGGCCACGGAGGCAGTTAAATTTCAAATCATTATAAGCATGTCTTCAAGATTTAGTATTATCCATAATCTAGTTGAATTTCGGGGGAATTGTGGTAACTGTAAAAGAGTCTTGAGATGAAAACCCTAAAAATCATGTTTTTGTTTGTTGACATTTATTCTACATCGAATTTGGCTAGAGTATAGGTATAGGTGTACAAGCGATATTCGTGTTTACGCGTCATCAAATCGGACTTATGGCACAAGCGACATCCGAAGTGGGTCAGAGTTTTCTAGATTTGTATCGTCCCGTATTCGGAAATAGTGCTGTGCAGAAACGCGCTTATTCAGTACAGCGAAAATCTAAAGAGACGTGTTTGTTTGTTTTAACGACCAATGCGATATCATTGTTATCGCTCTTTTGGATCCATAATGGCAACAAGGTGCAGATTCGCGCAAACTCGAAAATAATTTAATATAGGTTGTGCTTTTCGTTATCGGTGGCAAAGGTACAGAACATTACTTTAGAGTTGTCAAATTAGTCAGATCCATAGATCAATACGTTTTCACCAGCAATAAATTTATAAAAAAGGTAAAATGCAGTCTTCTAAGGCCCCCTGGTCTAGAATACCAGTTTAGTTCAATTCGTTATTGCATTAACCATAATGTTACATAGGATGATAAAGGCTCAAAGCAAAATTAACAGTGCATTATGGATTCTGTAGGGTCCACTGCCAATATTTTGAACAGAGAGAGGAGGTTCACTTTTTACAAACTTATATTTATATTATATTATTGGTTCATATTTTTACATTTGCAAATTAAAGAAGCATATTCTATTGATTAATATTGATCCAATAAGATGACCTTGTTATTTAATTTTATTATTTAATAATTATGAATTGTCCACCCGATGGAAAATGACTACCGCGTCAGTTTATTTTAGATGATTAATATCGCAAATGTTTTATTGGCCGTAAGATATAAGATTTTAAATCTTCCATGCTTGCGATTGCGCCCTTTACACCGACACAACTGCTATACACCAGCATACGCA